TATGCAAAAAAGAAAAAGAGACTCAGATGTATAGAACAGACTTGTGGACTCTGGGAGAAGGCGAGGGTGGGATGTTTCAAGAGAACAGCATTGAAACATGTATATTATCTAGGGTGAAACAGATCACCAGCCCAGGTTGGGTGCATGAGACAAGTGCTCGGGCCTGGTGTACTGGGAAGACCCAGAGGGATCGGGTGGAGAAGGAGGTGGGAGGGGGGACCGGGATGGGGAATACATGTAAATCCATGGCTAATTCATTTCGATGTATGACAAAACCCACTGCTATATTGTAAAGTAATTAGCCTCCAACTAATAAAAATAAGTGAAAAAAAAAAATAAAAGATTAATCTTTTGGGGATGATGGAAATGTTCCATCTCTTGACTATGATGGCAGTTTCATGGGTGGAGTTAACTGTCAAAACTCATGGAATTTTGTGCTTTTAATTGAAGCCATTTACTGTTTGTAAATTAGCCTCTGTAAACTTGATAAGGGAAAAAACAGACTCACAGAAACCCAGTTAGGAAGAGGTAGTATTATATTCTAATTTCAAGTATCTTTAAATCTTGAATTTCTAGAAGAATATAAGCAGAACAAAAGTGGAGGAAAAGTGTATGCAAAGTGGAAGATAATTTTTGTGGAAGGAAACTCTTGGACGCTGAAATGAAAGGATCATGGAAAGGGTACAATTGTGTCAGTATCTTTGTGTTTCGGAGTGAGAGGAGAGAAAGTCAGAGCCCACTCAACTGTTCTCAAAACACTGTTTGCTCTTACCATGTATTTTTTGCTGCAGTTTTCACTCTGGCAACATTTATAGTTGTTGTCATTCTCCAATACAAGAAGAACTGCTGCTACTACAAGCATCTATAGTAAGGAAGAGAAAAAATATAAGAAATGGAATATCAGTTTGCATTCAAGCTCATAACCAAAACTCGATGTTTCAGAGCATAGACTCTGGGATCTGGTAGATCTGGGTTCAAATCCCAGCTCTTCCACTTAATAGCTGTGTAAACTTGAGAGTCCTTTCCTGTAAAATGGTGCTGAGAAATCACTTCTTTAGATTATTACAAGGTATTGCATGTAAAATTTTAAATAGAGTGCTTGATTTATAACAAGTGACTGATAAATATTAGCTATTATTATCATGGTTATCAACTATGAAAGGCTAACGATTGGACTGCCCTGGCAGTCTAACGTTTGGGAATCTGTCTGCCGATGCAGGGAACATGGGTTTATCCTGGCTCTGGGCAGATTCCACATGGCCCAGGACAGCTAAGGCCGTGGGTCTCAGTGTGAGAGGCCATTGCTATGAGAAGCCTATGCACTGCAACAAGAGAGCATCCCCCACTTGCCACAAGTAGAGGAAGCACGCACGTCGCAAGGAAGCCCCAGCACTGCTGCTGCTGCTAGGTCGCTGCAGTCGTGGCCGACTCTGTGCGACCCCGCAGACGGCAGCCCACCAGGTCCCCCGTCCCTGGGATTCTCCAGGCAAGAACACTGGACTGTGTTGCCATTTCCTGCTCCAGTGCATGAGAGTGAAAAGTGAAAGTGAAATCTCTCGGTCGTGTCCGACTCTCAGCGACCCCATGGACTGCAGCCTACCAGGCTCCTCCGTCCATGGGATTCTCCAGGCAAGAGTACTGGCACAGTAAAAATTAAATAACTAAAATTTTAAAAATAAATAAACAAAACTTTCAAGAAACAATGATTAAGTAGGAATAAATAGTATGGACATGAGAGCACCATTCTCTGTAGCAAACCCACACTTCTTACTGACTCGGCTGTAGAACAAAGGAAAACCATCCTCCAGACCTTGGCATTTTCCATCCTCTTTCCACTTTCTGCCCTCGGAGAAGGCAGGTGAAAGGTATGGTTAATCTGAAACTAAATCTCTTAATCTAAAGAAAAGTACATTCAGATCATCTCAGATTTAAATTTTCCAACGTATTTTGCCTGTATCAACAAACTGGGAGAATTCAGTGTATTCTACTTCCCTCTCTTGATATCTTAGGCAAAAGATTTAAGTTCTGGAAAGAACATGGATTTCTTTATATTACAGTTATTGGTTTGGCCAAGTATGAGTCGTGAATTGTTTCTGGCAAATTCTCCACCTATCCTTTTCTCCCACTGTTCAGTACTGAATCTTGCAGCGGAGTTAGCCCATTGTTATTTTACTGCTTGGAGTGAGCATTCCCAGTTTCCAAATTCCTTCAGCCCATCATTTATTTACCTATGCACTTAATTATTTATCTATACTCCTCTCTTTTCTCCTAAAAGGATTTGCTCTTGAAAGAGTATTTTTCAAGAAGTCATAAACAGTGAAAAATAGAAAATAGGTTCTTTTCACAGTTTTTAATTTTACATGGACTATAAGCAAAAGTTAGTCCTACATTCCCCTTCTTTCAACACCGTTAGTTATCACAGTTTCAAAGAGATTCTGGTTTAACTTTAATAATGCCTTGCAAGGCATTATTTTTATTACAATTATTACAATTTTATTTTATTTATTACAATTATATATTGAGAGAAAGAATGGCCAAGATGAGACACAGTAAACTAGGTGCCAAAACCAGCTTCATTACAATACTGTTAGAAATAATTAAACCTAAACCCTGGAGTCCTGTGTCAAAGCAGAAACACAGGCATATTCTGTGTTGAAAGAGAAACTGCTTTCTCTTTTTGTTGTAAAGTATAACTGCAGTACAGAGGACTCAAGAATAATGGAGGAAAATCACCAAAAATTCCACTGCTTTCTCATGTTTTAACTGTTTACTCCCACATGTGTGTATCTTATATAGCTGCAACCATAATGTATTCACAATTTTGTTATATCTGTTTTCCTTAACACAGAATAACATGCACTTGTCCATGTTGTTACATGTTCATAATTACAACTTTCATCAGTTATGAAATTAACAGACCATAATTTATTTGGCCATGTCTATACTATGATGCTTCTAGCTTCTTGCTACTGTAAATAATGCTGACGGGCTACAGTCCACGGGGTCGTGAAGAGTCGGACACAGTTGAGGTGACCGAGCACATGCATGCAGATCGTGCTGCCATAGGCACCTGTGTATACGTTTCTTTCCTTATTTTGGATTATCCCCTCAGAATGAACTCTCAGATTTAGGATCACTGAGTCAAAAGACATAAGCGTTTTCACAGACCTTAATATACCACATCATATCTCCAAAAGGCTTACATTTATTTACAGTATCGCCATCAACATCGATTATATACCTAGCATATAGTACCTGCAGTAGCACTGGGTATTAATAATTCAAAGTTTATTAATTTAATGTGAAAGTGGTAACTAAATGAAACCATTTTTCAGCACAGCTATTCAAATACTACAAAATTAAACACTCACAAAGGTGTAGAGATAGACTACAGTGGGTTTTCTTTTCTGTTATTATTAGTATAGGAAAGTTCCAGCACACAGTGTGTGAGTTTTTAGAGATGATATGACCAGGAAAAATGTCTTTTCCTCTGAATTGCCGACATGATTTATTATCAGTTTGTTTTTAAACAGCACAAAGTCATCAGGAAAACGTTCATGGATTCTTACTGTAGGTACCTTGATTTAGTTTTCAAAAGCACCCACTATCATTAGGGGTATAATGTCAGACAATTTAATGATGGCACGGCCCATCCTTCATTCAGTATTAATAATCACGATAGTCACTGGCTGCCTACAACATGTCAGTCTCTATCCTGGGCATTTCGTACATGAGATTTTATTTAATCCCCACAATTTCCCTGAAAAGTAAATGTCATCATTCACATTCTTCAAATGAGGACACAGAGGCCCAAAGACATCGAGTAGCTTGCTTTAAAGTCTCATGACACAAATGGCAGAGCTTAGGCTGGAACTCAAGTTTGTCTGAATCTTCAAGTTTATGCCTTTTCCATGGTCTCCATACCCCTCCAAGCTAGCGAAACCATGAGTGTAAATAGAAAACCCATTCTGGAAAAGGGCAATGCTACTGGAGATTAAATAGCATAGGTTCATATACAGCTTTCATGAGGACATAATATTATGCCCACAGCTTTCATGAGGACATAATATTTCTACGACCCACCAACTTTTAATAGGACTAATTTCCTGCATTGCTGGAGCTACATAAATAAGAGTTTATTGAAAACAAAGCGACCTTCCAAGTCCTCACAGACTTCCTGCCTTTTTATCCCCATCCATCTTCCAAATCCCAAACCCAGGACTCATAGAATGATTTTCCCATGATTCATCATTTTCACTAGGAACAAGTTAATCTTAGTAAAAACTCCCCTTCAGCAATCCCAAGTTCTCCAAAGTTACACTTACCATGATACCTGAGAAACAGATTCCTTCAAAATACCAGACGTAGTTGGTGAGTTTATTGCTGGATGCATAGGAAGCTTGCCCATTGGGGAAATACAATAATACATTCACAATTATGCTCCAAAGCGCAAGAGGAATCAGCAAACTACTCAGGCAGCTTCCGCATTTCCGAGACCCCATCCTACCCTGCTCGGAACCTGCGGAGATTTCAAGAGTGTAGAATTACATCAAGCCTGTTTTGTTTTGTTTGCCCCCTACCTGGCTTTTTTTTTTTCCGAGATTACCTACCACTTTCTGGGTCAGAGCCCTTCAGTTCATATTCGTGAGGAGCCAGGACTCGGACAGAAACGCAGCCCAGGGTCTTGTCGATGTGGAAATAGTGGTTTACTGTCTGGAGAACAATCAACAAAGATCGACTGGCTGAGGAGCTGAGCTGGTCTTCCTCCTGTGCCAAAGGAATGCGATGCTTCCACCGCTTTTTAAAATAAGTCATTTTCCTCTGAGTTGGAGCGCGCAAGACAGAACCCTGAGCGTGTTTGCAGAAGGAAGTTGGGGTGGGGGTTGGAACTGAGTCTGGCAGGTTTCATACCAAGCAAAGGACAGGGCTTAACGAGGACAAGACCAGGGATCTTATACTGGCACGGGATGTGCAATTTGCTCAAGTATTCTGACTCTATGTATCTGTCTTTTATTTAGTATTCTCTTTGTTTCTCTTTGCTCACTATTCACCAAGCACTGTTTGAGCTACAGGGGACACAAAAAGAACAAAGAAAGGGGCAAACTGGTGGCTGAAAAAAACAAGATATCACAGTTGATGAGTTTATTGGCGGAAGACTGAAACAGCTTTCCTCTTAAGAGTTCACATCTTTATCTCTCCTTCTCTGAGAAATAATAACAGGAATAAATTCATATCTCTTACTGTCTTGGAAAAGGAGGTTAAAAAAAGTTGGGTGATTTGATTATCATTTTATGAGTAATAAGTCTGAAGTGAATTGAGGAATGCTCCCTTCCAAATTATTGCCCTAAATATAAAGAACCACAGACCTCTCTAATTCTGAGGACATAAGGAGAAGGTTATGGGAAGGAACCTTGGCACTAATATGTTAAATATAATGTAGACAGTGGTTTAAAGAATTCAAGGTTTGGGAATTCCCCAGTGGTCCAATTGTTAGGACTCTGCCAAGGGCTTGGGTTCAATCCCTGGTTGAGGAACTAAGATTTCACAAGCTGTATGGTGCAGCCAAACAAAACGAAACAGAAGAATTCAAGGGTTGCCTGACCTCATTGCCACTGTTCCTACTGGTAGCCTCAGAACACTGCTCAACAACTTTCTTAAGTCTCAACTTCCTAATCTATGAGATGGGAATTAAAAAACGGTACATTTCCCACAAAGATAAATGTGTGGGTTAAACGAGATTATATGTGCAGAACAGTGTCAGATGATAGAGATGCAGCAAACAATAAATGGAAGTTATCATTAATAATGAAAACAGGAGTTACAGGAACACAACAGCAAAAATGGTACAGAAATCAGAAATAAAGTCTGTTTATTTCTCTTGATGCCCAAAGAGTTTTGATTCATGAAACCTTAAAATGTTGATCCCAGAAATATTTATGTTTAATTTGTTATCTTTTGGAAAGTATTAATTCTCTAGAACATATTTGCTTTTAATTCAAGAGAAAAAAACTTATTTTATATAAATATTTAAAATTTTACTGTACTTATACTTTTTTTAAAAAGTCGAGCTACATGAAGCCACATTTGGATTCAAACAAAACAAACCCAGAAACTAGTTGTCTTAAACTATAATATTGTTGTTGTTTCCCTAAGTCATGTCTGATACTTTTATGACCCCATGGACTATAGTCGACCAGGCTCCTCTGTCCATGGGATTTCCCAGGAAAGAATACTGGAGTGGGTGGTTTCCGTTTCCTTCTCCAGGGGATCTTCCCCACCCAGGGATGGAACTCAGGTCTCCTGCTTGGCAGGCAGATTCTTTACTACTGAGCCACCAGGGAAGCCTCCAATATCAAAATTGCATCCAAGCTAAGTCGCTTTATTTGTGTCCAATTCTTTGCAACCCTATGGACTGTAACCCACCAGGCTCCTCTGTCAGTTTTCAACATTAATAATGTTTATTCTATAGACATTATTAAATCATTGGCAATTAGTTGATATGTCAGTCTCCAGCCCCTTTTCCCTCCCCAGAGGTTGCAGAATGGGGTTGAAATTTCTGACCCTCTAACCAGATCTCTGGGATTAGTTTTGAATAGAAAAATGACTTGGCATGTTAAAAGGTTCACTCTAGCTGTTGCATCATGATGAGGTTATAAAGGGTGTGGGTGAAAGAAAGAGATGAATTCTGAAGCCATTTCACCAATCCAGTGTTCCCACCAATGACAGTGGTTCGAACAATGAGAGTAGTAGAAGAGATGGTGATAAAAGGCTGGGTTCTGTCTATATTTTGAAGATAGATCCAACAGTATTTGGGCACACTGGCTGGAAAGAGAAAGAGAGGAGTCAAAGACGACCATGTGGTTTGGGGCCAGAGAAACAGGAAGAATGAAGCTGCCATTTACTGAAATGAGCAAAACAGCAGGTTGAGCAGGTTTGAGAGGGGAAGAGAAGATGGTTAGTTTCAGACTTCTCAAGTTCTGAGACACTTCTTAGAATCCAAGTGGAGATGCCAATCAGGCTGTTGGATACACAAACATGAAGTTCAAGGAATGGGTCTGGGGTGGAGTGTGATAGTTGTCAGTGCATGGACAGTATCTGAAGGCACAAAACTCTGGGGGTGAATGTAGATTAGAAAAGAGGTTCAAGGACTAGGTCCTGGGGAGTCCAGAGAACTGAGTGTGGGGATGTGAAGGGGGAGTCAGCAAAGGAGGCTGAGCAGTGGCCAGGGAGTTGGAAGAACCGGGAACTTCTCCTGGGAGTTGAATTCCTAAGTTGAGAAAGAAGTGGTCAGTGAGAGTTAAGACTGCCTAGAGAGCAAGCCGTGTTGGAGGGCTGAGAAGTGGGTGTTGGCTTTAGCAACCTGAGGTCATCAGGGAGCCTGACAGGAGGAGCTTCGGTGGCAGACAGACGCTGAGTCCAGACGGATGGTTCATGAGGGAATAAGAAAGGAGAAGGTGGAAGCAGAGAGAAGAGACAGCACTGTTTGGAGAGTTGAGCTAAAGGGAAAGTAGGAGTCAAGGGAAAAAGTTTAAAGGGAAAAATTAAAGCACATTTGTATACTGGTAGGAATTTTTTGTTGGGAGTGGTGGAGGGGAGGGGAGCACAAGAGAAAAATGGGAGAATTGATAGAGTGGTGTTTATTTTTTTAATTTATTTATTTGGCTGCACCAGGTCTTAGCCGTGGAAGACAGGCTCTTCGTTGCCTCACGGGAGACCTTTCGCTGAGGTGCAGACTGTCCAGATGTGGCGAGCGGACTCAGTAATTGGGGTGCATGGGCTTAGCTGCCCACGGCAGGTAGGATCTTAGTTCCCTGACTAGGGGTTGAACTGTGTCCCCTGCTCTACAAGACAGAGTCGTCGTCCCTGGACCACAGGTAAGTCCCTGGAGCAGTGTTCCTGAGTCAGCGGGAAGCAGCAGGAGTGTCTGCACAAACGGAGGAACTGGCCTAAGCCAGCAGCCTGGCTGGTTCATTCTTAGTAACAGAAGACAAAGCATGTGGGATGGACGTGTGGGAACTTCTGAGGGTTCCTGCGTTTCCAGTGAAACTGGAAGCAGGCTTATTGGTTGAGAACAAAGATGGGGAGAGGGTATCACAGGATTTTAGAGAGAGAAGAAGGTATGAAACTGTTCCCTAGGAAAGCGAGATGGTGAAAGGCCTAGAGAGAGGTGGCAGATGCCAGCAGGCACGGGGGCCCACTTAAGGTTAAGAGTTTACAGTGAGACGAGACGCATGGTCAAGTGCTTTTCCCAGGGCAGTGCGAGTGCAAAGGCATGGGCAGAGAGTGGTGAGAAAGCTGGAATCAGCCAGGATTTGGACTTTGCCAGGCAAACATATAAAGAGAGAGAAATGGGGAAAAGGAATCAAGAAAATATATGAGAGTGATTATAGGGATCAACTATGGAATCTAATCCAAGGAAGGAGGGAAGTAAGGACATGAAAGAATCTGAGCAACAGTTTAAAAAACAAAAAAAAGGAAGAAGGCTGGATTTGTGTGTCCTAGTGGAGTTGAAGAATTATTGGTTTGGGGTAGTAAAGAGATAAAGAGCTGAAAAGATAGAAGGTAGTGACTGAGATGAAAAGATGCTGGAATTTGAAATTAAGATGTTTCAGTATTCAGCAATAGGAATGTATTTATTACTACTGAATTATATAGCTCAGTTCAGTTCAGTTCAGTCACTCAGTCGTGTCCGACTCTTTGAGACCCCATGAATCGCAGCACGCCAGGCCTCCCTGTCCATCACCAACTCTATAACTTTCCTTCCAAGGAGTAAGCGTCTTTTAATTTCATGGCTGCAGTCACCATCTGCAGTGATTTTGGAGCCCAAAAAAATAAAGTCTGACGCTGTCTCCACTGTCTCCCCATCTATTTCCCATGAGGTGATGGGACCAGATGCCATGATAGAGACATGGTAGGAACTGCTCAACAATTCCACTCTCCATAAATTTTATCAAAAGGTGTTCTTAGTCACTCCTCTCCAGTGCAAAATATTGGCAACAAGAACTTCTTTGAAGGCTCAACTAAACCCTCTTAGACATGGTTAAAATAGTATGTTTTATATTATGTGACTTCCAGGAATTTTTAGTGTCAGCAAGGTGAGCTCCCAATCAGAGACCCCCTCAGAATTATCATGAATTGACATCCATTGAGTATCTTTGTCCTAGGCACTGTGCTAAAAGCTTTCACATACATTAAAAACAATCACAAAATGAATTCTCACAGTTATACTAAGGTGAAGGCCTTAACTCCATTTTGCATGTAAAAAAATGGCTCTAAGAAAAAAATTTTTAAACTTTGCCTGGGAACTAGAAGTTAAGCCCAAGATTTAAGACATAATCTTTGGACTCTTCCACCGTGTTCACCCTGATCTGATACACTTCTATGTGTTAAACCCCCTCGTCTTCATTGCAAATTATTTTCTTCTTTTCTGAAAAATGATTTTAAGTTTATTTATTCATTTTTGGCTGCCCTGGGTCTCTGTTGCTGCGTGCGGTCTTTCTCCAGCTGCGGTGCGCCAGCCTCTCACTGTGGTGGCTTTTCTCGTTGCAGAGCGCAGCTCCAGGCATGTGGGCTGGTGAGCTGTGGGGCAACGGCCTAGCTGCTCCACAGCATGTGGAGTCTCCCCAGACCGGGGGTCGAATCCACATCCCTTGCGTTGGCAGGCAGATTCTTAACCACCAGGCAAGTCCTACAAATAGGTTTCCAGTTTGGAT